TGTAGATACTAAAAGTAAGCTTATTCCGGAACGATCAAATGATTAGAATCGAATCAAAGCAAAGCTAAGGTGAGTGCATACTATATGTATAGTATAATGGAATAAGACTTGTGATAAGTCTAATTCCTATATTGATTTTCATAGTACAATAGTTGTGAACATGCATACATGATAATTATTCTAATACATTCATAAGGCATATATATGTTCATGTGATTGGATAAATGATGTATATATATGAATAGATTCAAATACACATGTGATATGAGAAGTGATATGAGAACATGACATGAGCTACATGATCACAAGAGAAATGACATGAGTACATGAACATATGAAATATAAGAATAATGCCCATAGTATACGATATGAGAGCTATAGGTGTAATTGGCATGCCAAGAGTCGAGGGTATAATAGTCCTTCGGGATGTAGTGGTCCTGTGGGACATATATGACAGTCCTTCGGGATGAATACTGAACTAAGATTCGGTGCCCCATGAGGGAATTGATACGAGCTGTGGTGACATCATTAGTGCACAACCTCAATGCACTCACATACCTCTATTCTCAATAATATACATGGACAATTGAAATAAAAAGTAAAGTGAAAGTGGTACAAGAATGTAAGTCTTGTACATGCATGATATGATTATATATGTTATTGTGTAATAGATACATGCATATTGAAATGTCATGAAGGAAATGGTAAGAATGCATATTCATGAAGATATTGTTGCATATTCATTTATTGCTCACTAAGTCTATGACTTAGCGTGTAAGTGATTTACACGTAGGTACCGAGAAATAAGAAGATTCAGAATAGCAGTGGCACGGACAACAACATTACTAAGAAATCAGATCAGAAGTATTTGATAAAGTAGATATTTTGTTTGTATAAAGTGTTGATATGTAATAAGTGATTAATTAAGAATGCTCTAATCGATTTTGTATTAAGTGGTATCTTTTATGTAAATTAAAGTATTTTGTTTTAATGAAAGTTTTAAATTCCCGGGATTTTTCTTTAAGAATCAAAGTTTGAAAAGTCAATGTGACATCTCAGACTTGTATTCGGGTCGAATATGAGTTAGGGGTGTTACAATTTTACGTTGTTTCCGTAGAGACCTGGGCTCGAATCCCAGCTGGCAGCCACATGTATTAACTGAATTTTTCTCCATCTCTTCCTCTGTTCTTTTTTTTTTTCCATGAAGCAAACAAATAACTATAAACCCCGACTTCTCCACCTCCACCTCCACCACCAAATACAGTTTACAGGAATACAAGAGGGGACATTGAAAGGAGTATCCAATCATAGAATCCAGTTTCCGAAACTTGTCATGGGTCCGTTACACAATGAAATATCATTGTTTTCTCTCCCCCTTTTTCTTTCAGTTTTTGATCAGTCCAATTATTACATATTTCACGTGAACTCTTTTCAGTTGACGATTTCCTGATTCGTGATCTATCTATGTTAGCTGCTTCAGCAGAACAAAATGTTTGTCCTGAGAGATTAGAGGAGGTTAAGAATTCAAGGGAACTCTTATCTTCATTTCTTCGTTTTTAAATCTCCTTATGGTGGGGGGCATGTACGCATCATCAGCCATGGTTGAAGGGAATGGGGGTGTTGGAAGATGCTAAAAGGAATAAACATCAGGGAGTTTGTAATTACAGTGGGAAGTTGGATGATTTTATCATCATGTAGGATTGATTTGTTACAATCATCGTCTGGTAAACACACAGGTAATAATATTTCCTATGAATCCACATTTTTAATATCAATGAAGCGCTGCGGAGGTGAAGTTAAAGTTGATGCCCAAACTGTGATGTATTATAATAATTAAGCTCTCCCGCACCACCAAGTTATCATAATAAAGTCTGATCCTAAAAAAATATATGTATAATATTAAAGGATATTTGATTTATATATGTCCAGACCTGGAATTCTCAATCTCCCAACGTAATTATGGTGAAAGTTGATTTAAACTCACAATTCAAACTCTATCAATTTATCTTCTTTAAACCCACCCATCAAAACATTAAAATGCGTATTCAAAGCGGATAAATTATTTTTTAATCATTTAGTTTATTTTTATTTCTATTTTAATTATTCAATTAATTTTTTTATTATCATTATTTAGTTTTGGCTTAATACCAAAATAAGTGCCTAAATTATATCTTAAAATACAATTTGGTGCTTAAAGAATTTTTTTTTGACTTAAAATAGATGTCTAACGTTTTATCTGTTATACTTTTAGGTGCTTAACATTATATTTTGTAATTTTTATATTTTTATAATAATAAACATATTTTTTATTAAGTAAAAACATCCCCCACTCCCTCCCACGTCTTCTCCTCCCCTGCCAGCAGCCAAAGATCGACTACCACAGTTGATTGTCACGACCGACTGCCACGATCGACCATATGGCAAACGGTTGACAACCACATTCGATCAAACACCTGATTACCACAACCAAAAGGGTTTTTTAGGAATTCAAAATCCTAAAATAAAATCTTTCATTTATATTGTTTTAGGCGTTCGATCAGTTGTGAAAGTATGAGGTTTTTGGTCGTGGGTGATTGGCTGGTCACAAGTCATTGTGTGTCCAGTCGATTGACGAAGTTACTGGCGGCCGACAGTGGCAAAGGATTAAAATTAAGGTTTTAAAAGTTTTGGGGTTTTTTAAGATTAAAAAATATTTTTTATTTTTTTTATTTTAAATAAAAATTCTCAAAATTACTAAAACGTGATATGTGTCACTTAACGAGATTTTTATGGCGATTAATATCCGGATACCTAAAAGTATAACGTTATAAACATTAAACACCTATTTTAGTAAAAAATTCTTTAAATAGTAAACATATTTTGAGTGTACTTAGACAATTATTTTTTGTATTAAGCATTTAATTTTATTAATTAATCATTCTATCGATAATTATTAACTCATTCATCAAAACATTATGTTTTGAGTACTTTTATCGTTAAAGTTGACATAAATTTGAACTTCGTACTTTCTATGGTCGATATCCTTCTGTATAAGTATTTAATTTACCGCTTATCATTGTTTTCAACATAAAATTGGTGATTTTCCCGAAAAATCACCGTTCAACGGTATATTTTCCGATCATGCACCGGTCAGACTATATTTCTCGATCTAACACCTTTAGTAGGAAAGCGTGCCTCTTGTACCACGTTTTATACTGATTTGGCGTCACGTGGGATAAGACACGCCACTGAAACGCGCCTTATGCTGACATAAATGCACGAGTATAACACGGCCCTGAGACGCGCCTTACCTTTATTGGGTTCTTTTTCCCACACTCAGCTCATTGTTACGTTATACGTGCAAAACTATATATAATAATATATATAAAAGGAGTTAACTAAATTAATTTAAAATTAAAAAGGAAAAAGAAAAAAAATAAATGAAGTGATACGAGTCACGCGCTGATGAGTGGAATGGTGTTTTGTGTCAGTCACGTGAGTCTTTCACTCACTACCTTTCCGAAACAATTAAAACAAATTCAGCTTCAATCTTTTAAACAAAAGCAAAAATGCCAAAAACAAAGTTCAAATCTTTGCTTCTTCTCTTCATCTTCTTCTGGGAATTTTTAACCTGTTTTTCCAGGCCTATAACTTACCCTCCGCAAACCAACTTGTTGTTCCCCTCCGACGCCGTTTCCATCCTCTCCTTCAAATCCAAGGCCGACCTCGACAACAAGCAGCTTTACACACTCAACAAGCGCTTCGACTACTGCCAATGGCACGGCGTCAAATGTGCCCAAGGTCGTGTCGTCCGCTATAACCTTCAAAATTTCGGCTTACGTGGTGTTTTTCCCACCAACTCCCTCTCCCGGCTCGACCAGCTTCGGCTCCTTAGTATCCACAACAACTCCCTCTCCGGTCGGATCCCCAACTTGTTTTCAAGCCAAAGGAGAAAGGCTTGTGATCTATGATTATCACCCAAAGCAAAACTGTTTCTATTTAGGTCTAAGTGTAGTAATGACTGAGTTTCACATTAATGTTGCGGCTGCATTGTTAGAATGGGATAAACCTTAAAACGTTAAAAGATAAACCAAAATGGGGCCTCGCGTAGTGTGTGGGAAAAATAACCAGGCGCGCCCCAGGGACCGCGTTATACCCGCGTGTATTCATATCTTGAAGCGTGTCTTACCCCACGTGACGTTAAATCAACATATAACGCGATGCAGGGGGCGCGCTTTACTGCTAAGGGTGTTAGATCGGGAAATATAGTCTGATCAATGTTAGATCGGTAAATATACCGATTATCGATAATTTTTCGAGAAAAACACCCATAAAATAAGTATAAGAATATTTGTTCTCTTTCCCCCTCAGTTTTATTATTTTAAATCCCTTCAAAATAAATAAAACACAAATCGTAATCCGATCTTTAATTGGATATGATAATGTCATTTTTATATGATCAACATGAAATTAAAATATATTATTTTTATTCTCTTTCACTACATTCCCATTATTTTAGTTTAGAAGAAAACATTATGAATTAGAAAATTTTAAATTTTAAAGAAATTTTTTGAAATCTCTTTTTATATTACAAGTTAAAAATTTAACTCTTGAGTAACAAAAAAATTATCAAAATAATAATTCATCCGTATATAATTATGCGTCAATCGATCGTCAAAACAATAGATTACATTTAACGTTACCCGTGACAACTTTTTTTTTTGGTCGACATCATAAATTCCAGTAACGAAGATTTCATAGAAAATATACACAAAAATTTCCATTATGGAATATTTTAATAACACAAAAAATGAAAAAAAAATAATAAAAGCGATACATCCGCACGAAGTCACATCTACTTATTTACATATTGTCATGATCTAGACAACATTAAACCGAGTGAATATAATATAACAAAAAGAAAGTGGATAACACCTTTAAACTCCCACTCCCCCCATTTTCGTAAACAAAAGGATCTTTACTTTTAACTTTTAAGATGAAAATTTGAAAAGTCACCGCGGTTGGTAACTCCATATTTTCACTTATCGAGCAGGTTGCAAGGTGATTTCTTATTTTTACACGTGTCCTCATTCTTTAACGAAATTTTCGATGAACATTAGCTGTCGGAGAACAAAGACGGATAACGAAACAGATCGTAAGGAGCCCACAAGGAATCCAACGGACAAGGTTTCTTCGAATCGATCCTGAGCCATGGCTTTCCCTTACCGCTCCAATGCAACAAGCTAACTGGACCAGGGTGAAGAGCCCGGCATAAGCCTTCCAAGTTATCACCGCCGAGCCCGTGCTGGTTCCATCGGTGCTCCATCCCTTCCACCTCACCGGCGAAAACTAACAAAAATGGAGGCAAAGAACCAAGCTCGTAGATACGATATCGTTTCTGAATCTTCATCCAGTTCTCTAATTTCTCCGTGTATTTCCCTTCTCTCCATTTCCACAAATCGATTACCATAACGCCAGTGTTGAAGTAACACGGGTTTCTCGATCTCCCTTTGAACGGCGCCGTAAATACCGGGTTCGACCAGAATTTGGAGGTGAAGTAGTTGGTGAAGTTGGCGTGGCAGTACTCGGGAGCTCCCAATACGTGACCTCTCAAATTGATGCTCCATAAATTAATGACGTCATCGACGACGATGAGGTCAGAATCAAAGTAGATGATCCGGCGGACTCCAGCCGGAAGAAGATCAGCCAAGTACATACGAGCGTAATTCAAAGGCTGATCTAGCGCACGTCGGATGGAGGTCGAGATCTTTCCTTTGACGAGGTTAGTGTTGAAGTAGTAGATGTGGAAATTGAGGTAAGGAAATGTGGTGGTAATGGCGCGCGTTAGTTTAGCGCCATGGCTGTGCGTGGTGATGAAATGGAAGGCGATGTTCTCGGGACAAGTGGCGTGGTGGAGGACGGAGTAGACTCCGGCGACGGATCCACGGAGGTAAGCGGTGTCTAAGGTCATGGCGATGTGGATAATGGAAGGGTTGTGGATATGTTTGTCGAGGGATGACCATGTCGTTCTGGGACATTCTCTACCGTTTCGAAATGCCGGCGCTTCTCGAAAAGAAGGTAACTCGGCAGAGCAGAGATTGATCGTGACCGTTAAAATTAAAAAGAGATGGAGAGGTTTAGATGGAGCCATGGCCTGTGAACTACATTAGGGAGAGGGACGGTAGGTAAGAGAGATAAGGCTGAATATTGGCATTGGGGGTGGTTTTGAGTGACGCTTTTTTTTCTTTTTTTCTTTTTGTTTCGAGAGCTGGGGCCAACGCCAGGCTGTCAAGCCGCGTCCTTTGTCAGCTGCACTCTTTATTGCAGTGGGCAGTGATCTTGTGGTTCTGGTTACACCGTACGAAGTCGTGGAGCCGTATATCCGGCCATCTTTGTGTGGTTTTAGATCTTTCTTAATCAAACGGATGAGAGTGTTTTCATCGGGGTGCGAAGAGACGAATTTTCAAGCCGATGATGAATTGGAGAAAAAAGCGAAGCTGACTCTCATCCTTCTGTGTATCCAGTTTAGACAAATACATGGCGCCACTGAAAAATCTAGAGACTGAGTATCCAATCATAGATTCCGGTTTCCGAAACTTCTGCGCTTCTCATGGCATTTTCTCAGGTCCGTTTATATTTCTACGCAGTGAAATATCTTTGTTTTCTACCCCTTCTTTCCATTTTTGGTCTGTCTAATTATTTCATTTTTTTCATGCCAACTCTTTTCAGTTGAAGATTTCCTGATTCACGATCTCTCTATATGTTAGCTGCTTTTGCGGAACAAAGCATGTCTTCTGAAAGATTAAAGGAGGTTAAATTGAAGGAAACTCTTATTTCATATCGTTTGTTTTTAGTAATTGTAGCGAACTATTTTTTCTTAAATTCTTTTGGCTGGGCAATATGTAGGGAATTACACAAGTTCTGTCTATCATAGATGATATGCATCAGCCATGGTTGAATGGAATGCAATTGTTGGAGGATGCTAAAAGGAATAAACACGTCTTACCAACTGGAATTCAAGGGTAAAATTTTCAATTTTTTCATTGTAATTACAATGAAAAGTTTGATGATTTCATCATCACTAAATATTGTTAATGTAGGATTGATTTGTTACTTGGTGGTGGTGGGGTTCATATTGGTCAATTAACTGAATTAGTTGGACCATCATCTTCTGGTAAAACACAAGTAAGAATGTTTCCCTTGTATGACCAATGCACTTTTTCAAGGTCAATAAAGCGCTGCTGGTAGGTTAAGTTAAAATTGATGCTGAAACTGTGATGTCTTTGATTGTATCTATGGTGCTCTTTGCTCAACTTCTTGGTAGTGAATGTTAACTAGTCATATGAGATCAATCATCTTTGCTCTTTGTTTCATCATTAAATTTTGGTTTTTTTATGTTTTTTTGAAAGCTGATTCAAATTCTTGGTGATGTTTAGGTTTGCCTACAAACAGCATCAAATGTTGCAAGTAATCATATGGTGCTGTACTTAGATACAGGTAACTCATTTTCACCTGAACGCATTGCCTACTTCCTTGGAAAGACCAATGATCTTGCATCTGCTCAGGTGAAACATATCATCCTCTTAGTGTTATTTTGATATGTTAGTTTCTTTCTTTCTCTTATACCCTTCATTGGCATTGTTGTTTTTGATTGAAACTGATTTTGGTCTCTACTTGTTTGTAACTATGCAGGACAAAAACCGGATTCTGCAAAAAGTAATGAGCAACATATTATGTCATTCTGTGTTCGACATCTTTGCAATGTTTCATGTGCTACATCAGCTAGAATCTCATTTGAGATATCAGGTTTCATTTAGATGAAGCTCCCATACCCTTAAGCTTTGATCGACTTTTTTTCTAGTGTTATTGGCCAAGTGAACATTGGTTCAGGATGGAGGAGGAGGTTGTCGGATGCGGCTGCTAATAGTTGATTCAATTTCTTTGCTTATCTCCCCTGTACTTGGAAGCAATAGCACGCAAGGTGTATATGCATACCTCATTTTTTTCTCTGATAGGTTATACTTGTATATTTATTTGCAGGGTCTCTTGATGAATGTTTAGATATAAGATTTTTTTCTAGTAAAAAGGAAAAGTGAAAACCGATGGTTTTCTCTGTATACCATGCTTGTTCCTTCGTAGGATTGAATATATCATATACTGCTTATAAAGAGTTATAAATTCAAAGTTGATGGATACAGGGCGAGCTTTGATGTTATCTGCTGGATATTTGCTGAAAAGGCTAGCGCATCAGCATAATCTTGCAGTACTTGTAAGTTTTGCTCTTGAACTTTAGGAGTGGCGGATGTACAGGGTGGGCAAGTGCCTACCCTGAAATTTAAATTTCTTTTGGCTAGTTATTTATTTTATTGATGGTGCTCACCCTGAAATTTTATTTGTGCCAACTCCACATAAATTTTTTTTTTGTATTGTTAATATTTGTGGTTATCCAAAAAAAATATTTATGGATCTGTCACTGGCTTTTACTAGTACTTAATCAATAAAAATGTAAATTTGATTACCGTTGCTTGAATATAGTGATTGTTTTGACCATATAATATAACAATGCCCCTTGGAACAACTAGTCCTTAAGAAATTTATTATAGGTTATCAATCACACAGTGGGCAGTGAGGAAGGGTCTTCCAAACCTGCTCTTGGAGATAGTTGGAAGAGCATTCCACATTCGAGGCTTTTCCTCTCGTGTGACCATGGAAGCAATGACTACAATGTTTCCATTTTAAAACACCCATCCATGGTATGTCCATTTCTTCCTGTTTCTCAGTCCTCTCTACTTAAGCATTGTTTTACATTTACCTTTGCCCATTTTACATTAGGTTTCTGGGAAGGCTGCAAAGTTTGTGATTAGGACCAGCCCTTGCAGGTATGCCAGGGATGAAAATGCCGGTAAAATAGAGTTGTTTCATGAGTAAATTTCCCTTTCATTCTACGTAAGGGAAGTGATTTTGCAGTGTAGCTTCTTGTGGGAACTGATCAGCAGTTGTTGGTGGGTGTGCTTTACCATTTGTGATTAAGTTTTTATTACCGCTGTTAATTATTGTGTAACATTTTCGGCCCCAAGGGAATGGGAAAATGTTGGTACTTATTCCCTATGTTAGCTGGCCATGATCGGAGGGACACCACTTTTTTTTCCAGGAGGATACTTCCGTTGGGTTCCGAGAAAGGAATTCATTGGCTTGAGTATCTGGAATGATCCCCAGCCGCAGCCCTTACTGTTGGAGCTGAACCTCCAAACATACCATGCGTAAAGAATGACACAGAGGAGTTGAAATTATCGGTTCTGCGTTGGTTTCAGGTGGCGGAAGGTGTGAGTGTCCTCATCAGCGAATATTGTTCTTACTGTTTTATCCACATAAGGTGTGACATGTTGGAATATGGTTTGAACATTTATATCTCAATACCCAACTTTAACAAACAACTAACATGATGATATCCAAAGCTTTTTTGACAGTGCTGAGCTTTAAGATGTCTAAGATGACAGAAGGTTGGTGGATCAAGCTAAAGCCCATTGATCTTTCAAATTTTGCCGAATTTAAATTTGACAGTGACTTTTGAAATGGAAACCATTTTTCATTTTGGGTTATAATCTAATGGCTTGATCTAAGGGGGGGAAATGATATGGTGTGAAGAGAGGAAGTAGGAACTTCTGTGTTGGGAACATACAAAGCATGAAAATCTTGGGTATAGTGTCCGAAGATAAAAAGTATGTATCCGTCCAAGGACTAAGCACTTGACAATAACGTCGATGTGCACCGGAATTTCGTTAATCATAATTTATTTATTGATAATTCCAAGTTGATTTTAGTACTCAAATCCCAAATTTAGTATGCGGTTTGCAATATTAATGAGAGCAGAGGGAATGATTGATTGTCCCTTTATGATATGTCCTTATGTTGAGAGCTAAGCTAACTCCTAACCACTCTAATTATCGTGCTATTGAAAATTGTGCACAAAGATTACGTAATTAATTTATAAGCATAGTAACATTAACTATTTTTCATATTCAATAATTAAAGATTAGTGTCCGGAAAGTAAAGAAAATGAACAAAGATACTTTGGATGTTTATAAGGATTTCAATTTGACCCCTACAACTCTTTGGTCGCTCCTTCACTTTGCCCTTACAATTCTTTTTTTTTTTTTCCTTCTTTTTCTAGGATATTTATCAATTTCCAACTCAAATTTCTTCTTCCCTCCTAGTTTTTATTATTTGATTAATTATGAATAATATGAAAATTTAGCTAAAGGTTTAAATTATGCAAGAAGAGATTTTATGGTATGTTTGTTTGGTTGTAATTGGTTTTCCGGAAAATGAATTATTGGAATTTGAATTATTGGAACTGAAAAATGAATTATTGGAATTTGAATTTTGGAAAATGAATTATTGGAATTTGAATTCTGGAAAATGAATTATATTTCTGGAAAACGTTTTCCAGAAAATGTTTTCCATAAAATGAATTACATTTTTCTGAAAAAAAAAACATCTGGAAAACGTTTTATGATGTTTGGAAGATGTTATTTAAACATTTTTTCTACTAGTTGAAGAGTTTTTTAAAAATTATTTATTACAAATATTAAATATAATAAATAATATTATTTATCATAAAACTTAATATTATTATTTTAAAATATTAAATAATTTATTTATTATTATTAATATTATTAAAAAAAACATCTGGAAACGTTTGATGATGTTTGGAAGATGTTATTTAAAACATTTTTCTACTAGTTGAAGAGTTTTTTAAAAATATTTATTACAAATATTAAATATAATAATATATTTATCATAAAACTTAATATTTTTTTAAAATATTAACATTTTTATTTATTATATCTTATTTTTGTATATTTTAGAGAAATAAAATATTATAAATTATATTATTTTTAGTAAAGTAATAGTGTTATTATTTTAAAATATTATTAGTATATGTTAATTCTTTATTATATTTTTTTAAATATATAATACTTATTCCTTATTATATATACAAATTATTATAATTATTAAAATAAAAATATATATCTTATTTTATATTCTTTTTATCTCCTATTTCTTTATATTATTATCTAATTTAATATATATTTTGATGAAAATGATATTTTTTATTCATATATTTATAAAATGGTTTGAGTATTTCTTTGTAGTGAAAAGTTCAGAAAATGACTTACGGAAAATGAATCCGTAAGTCATTTTACAGAAAACACAAAGGAAATTCTGTTACTAGAAAAATGAATTACATTTCGGAAAACCAATTACGTGAAACAAACATGGGAAAACATTTTCCGGAAAACAAATTACGTAAAACAAACACGGAAAATATTTTCCGGAAAACGAATTACGTGAAACAAAAACGAGAATTCGGGAAAAACCAATTCCGTAATTCCAATTATGACAAACAAACACACCCTTAATGTCATAGGAATTACAAATTACAATAATTGAGCAAATTAATAATTTAGTATTTTTCACAAAGTTGAATCATATATAACCAATTTATTAGCAACCTTAATATCATATCATATGCAATTTTTTAATATAGAAAAAGAAAGTTCTTAAAATAAATATTTAGTCGCAGAATCCTTGTTACCTTTTTTTCTAGTATTTTCTTTTTGCTGCCGTCCAAACTTGGTAAAAATAAATGAAGGGCAAAGCATTAAGACCAGGTGAAGAAACAGTAGTAGTTACTTTTCAAGCCATTAATGTGATGAGAAAATTGGAATTTTTCTCATCTGCTCACCTACCCAATTACTATCTCTTTTCCCTTTTGTCCAATTCAATAATAATGACTCATGAAAGAAAACGAAGATCAAGAAACAATGTGATGTTTATTTATTTATTTTTATAAAAAGATAACAGTTGATGATGATGGAAAGAAACATCTAGTAAATCTTGACATATTATTTATAATAGATTTAATAGAAATCATATAAAAACTATTGAAATCTTTTTTTTAGTTTTAATTACCATGTGATTTAAGTTTCCTTTTATATACTTATCTTCCAATGGTTGGTCCTTGCCAAGGGAAAAATAAGGGCAAATATGCCTAGCTTTTGGCTCCTCAACTTGAAGTTGTAGTTGAAGGTCAATCCATTTCCTAATCTATCTCTTTCAAGAATAAAGGCAAGCTATTCTCCATATTTATTTCTTCTGTAGTGAACCTTTAGCAGCCTTGTTTGACCAACACCACCTCCAAAGGTGGTGTGGGGATTGCAGAAGGTCATATCTTCATCGTTTCGGATAATAATTAATGAATGATTAGAGATTTAATCCATAATAATATTATTTTAATAAATCGCATCGCGAGTAAACAAAAGCAAAATTTGAAAGAACAACAGATGTTGAGTTTTGAGTTCATGTTAAGCCAATTGGAAGAATGTACAACTCACCCACTAGATTCTCGGTCCATCCAGAAGACAGGAGAAAAAGGATACAATAATTCTGTCCCACCTTAGAATTTCTCTTCTGCCACTAGCTAGGGTTCAAACAATCACACCACGGCTACTCGTCACCCTAAATTGTTTATCATGCTCTCCTTATAATTGCACTCATCTTTACTATCACTCGACGGATTCATGCTTGGGGACCAGTTATTTTGTAACTTTGTTTGATCCGAATCATATATGATGAAACTCTTTTCAGACATTCCCCCCAAATTTCGCTTTCTATAACCATTTACAATCGCAAACTGTCAGATATGGAGATCAGAAATTGAAATGATTAGAAAAACACAAAAGCAACATACAAAGGGTTAATAATAATTTTCACAACAATATCTGCCAAGAATAAACCTTACATTTGATTAATTTATATTACAGTTCAAATGTTGATTGGTATCTAAGTACATGGTGAACCATTCCATTTAAAAGAAAGAAAGAAAACCCTGTTTTCCCCTATCTTTTGAATCAGTAACTCATTTTCACCATTGGAGAAAATTGAGATGGTGCAGTAGATGGCCATAACTGAGCACTCTTCACCCTTGACACGCTTGCTAGAACGCTTGAGGGAGTTACATCCCCTCTTACTGTCAGTTTCTTTGTGGGTAAATCTATACTGAATGATGTCACTCCTGCAGAAAAAAAAAAGTAGGAAAAAAACCATGGCTTACTGCAATTTCTTTATGATCAAAACCACTAAACTAGCTAGGGTTTCCAGTTTATTTTTAGTCAGTGATTCTCACCTTCCATTTTGGAGATATGTTTTCTTAATTTTCCTTCACATCCTTTGCAATGGATTGAAACCCACAATACCACGACCTGTTATTTTCAAGTAGAAATTAACGTGAAATCCAACCTTTACTTCGTAGCTGTTTTTAACGATCAAATGAACAAGAAGAGAGATTAAAGACATACCTGGTCGTGAGACCGAGCAGATGAAGAAGACTTTAAAGCAGGAGAAGAATTGTGGTTGGAGCTTTCATGCAGCTTAGGTTTTGCGGGTTGAGAAGTAGGAACCGATGGCGAGAAATCAATAAAGGGTCTATCACTTAGAAGACATGTAGACGAACCCGGAGAGCTTTTTAGATCATAAATATCAGCCGAGCTTTTCCGACGTACATCACTTGGCTTAACACTGTTCTTCCTACTCTTTTCATGGCAACGCCTGGGAATTATAGGCAATTGAGATGAATTACAAGGTGCATAAGGCTTAGAATTCTGGCGATCGATACGCCTATGGCCATGGCGGACCATGGAACGGTGGTCCACGCTTGAGCAGATGGCTGTTGAAGCTTGAGAAGCACAAAAAATATCCATTCCTTTCATGTTTGGAGAACCGAGGGAGGGAGAGAATCACGTTTTGCTTAAGATGAATATATGCTATGGTTTTGATGAAGAATAACTAGAAAAATGAGAGTTGAGGAAGAAAGGACCTTCATAATAAGGCCAACTAATATGCTTTTAAAGTAGGTGGGTGGTGAGGGAGACATGCACGGAAAAAAGGGGGTAAAAGAAAAGGAACCAAGCAGCTAGCTACGCCCCATTGCTGAAGACTTGATTAATCAACAGCCTGGAAAATAATTTATCTTTAAAGATGTGATTAGCTTTACATTATTTAAGCCTGAATTCGTAACTATGTTTCATTGTTTCTTTTAATATGCCTACCTCCCTCTTGATTTCATTATTCCACAGTCATGAACTAGAAAGCTGAAACATGGCTTTTTTGCATGATTATGGGAAAATCATAGCTTAAAGATTATGATAAAGATTGATATCAACAGAGTTTGCATAAAATCATAAGCTTATCCCACAATCTATTAATCCATTTCTATTGTTCGGAAGCTGGAAGACGAAGTGGTTAAGCACAGATTTTAGTAACAAATAATGTTTTGTATTGCCGTTAAAATGAGAAGGTTAAAAGAAGACACATGTCAAAAAATGATAAGTGGGACACAATCAGGGGCATGGTAAGGGGTAGAAGATTAAATTTTTGTTCGTTTTATAAATGAACATTGAATAGTTAAGATGACCCGGGTCGATTTATACTACATTTATAAATTAATCCAAGTTTATTTCATATGCATATTTAATTAGGTACCTTATACATGATTGTTAATGGAAAAGGACCCACTTCATTTGTTCTCGTTTTCATTGTCGTGTTTTTGTGTGGCCTATAACTTTGCGTAAAGCATACCATGATGATCAGTTAAATTATTCATCAAAATCTTGCAGTCTATGTAATATATAACATTATTACATATTCTAGGTAACCAAAGTTCAAGAAGACCGTATCTTGTTGAACACTTGAACCTAACTAGTGCCTAAATTCTGGCTTTACAATCAAGATCGGACAAAGCAATGATCGGATAAATTAAAGAAAAACAGGCAATTATGAAGAACAGTAGGCATTGAGATAAGGTCTGTTTCATAAAAACATGTGATATAGTACTAGTGGCGTTAATGGACTGTTGAAAATTACTATGATGTCGTGTCAATCCAGAGTGTTGGAGTTAGATTGTTGTAATGATTATGCCACGGAAATGGATGAGGTGTTTTCCACCAGAAGGCTCGTGGTCGTGAGTCGAAGGGCCCCTTCTTGCAAGACAATGAGTTGATTTTGGAGATGTTGGTCATTTATTGTCATTAATTGCAACCTGATTAACATTTGTATGGACCAGTCTATAATTATCAACTTGGCCTCTCCCACTCATCTGATGCCTTTGCAGTCTAGGTTACATTTCGTAACTAGCTAAATACTATCTCCGTTTAACTATCTCCCTGTTCAGTTGTGATTTGGGAATATTTATAGCGGTATTTAATTCAGAGCATCAAATATAGAACTATTATATCTATTTGTAGTTAGTAGGGTAAAAAGTCTTGAAAGTCATATCTTAAATCTGCTATAATAGATTATATGGGTCTGTCATGAGTCTTGTCCGATATAAATGCCTTGTCTATACGTTGTACGTTATCAAAATGTTGAAGCTCTCGTTCCTTGAAAGTAAGAAATTGATATACGAAAAATTTTATCTATTATTTTTATAAAAAAAATATCATCTCCAAAATTATAACAAACTCCATAAAATATATCATTGTATTTGATGGATAACATATTTACTACCTGTTGAAGTAAGCATGATGATTCCACTTGTCTCTTCTTTTAATTTCTTTTTGGAAATCAGCAATCTGCTCTAAACCCTTATCCATCACAATTCTGTAGGTCTCCCTAATTTAAATCCTTTCCCTTTCCATAATAACGCGTTTAAAGATGTTTCCTTTAGTTAATTAAAATAACAGATCAAGGATTAGTTAATTTTTCTCCTTCTCTGTTTTTCTTTCTTCACAAAGTGTTCTTTCCGAACCTTACACCGTAGGAAATAAAGCATGTTTCCAGGCAGTTTTATTTAGTGCACATAATTGATTGAATCAACCGCAATCAATATAAAACAACAAATAGAAAATTAAGAATAATTCTTAGTTGATTTTTATAGACCTCTAAATGAAATTGAATTTTTCAGAAATCTATTTCAAAATCAATGATTTTTTTATTAATAAAAACAAAGCCCGTCTATTATATGTTCTATACATTTACTAATTAAATTAATCAAAAATATGATTAATTATATCTTCTAGACCTTTACTAGCTAGTTACTACCCGGAAAAGAAAAAGACATGCATAATTAAACTAACGGCATTCATTTTCATGGCAAATTCATCCAGAGTTGGTAATAGAAGAAATATAAATACACTTCGAAAGACCATTTGGAAAGTGAATGTCCCTCGGCGAGGGCGTGTTTTCCTATGGCTTATTAGCCATGAAAGGCTGCGAGAGAGTCCGCAATCAAATGCAGGGCGTGTAGTGAAGCAGTGGAGGCTGTGTAACATGTGCTTCGAATATGTGATCCAGCTATGGCAGTTTGGAAAAAGATTGATTAAACCCACAACTTCATCACGATGAATACCGAGGAATGAGAATTGGGATATTACTTGTTGGAAAATTTAATCGTGAAAAAATAATACATTTTCTAGGACGAGTTTGTAGTTTGCTATGTCTTGAGTGGGAAGTAGGCATTGAGCACATACGCTCCAGTAATGGAATAATTGAGTTGAAGAGAGGATATACATTTTAGTTGGAATGCTGCAAATGAATCGATTATCCATAGCTTAATTTTTTTATTCCCAGTTTCAAACAAAAAAAACATAGACCATTTTTTTAAAATTACCATTATTAAGTTTCTCATATTTTTAATAAAAAAATTGCTATATTTATTATGAGTAAAAAATATTTTTATATATAAAACAATATATATTTTCAAAATTTTATTAAAATAACTAAGAATGGTATGGTAAAACATTATATATTAATTACTGGATATTTAATTATTTGTTTATATAAAGATTAGATAAAAATATATAAAAAATACTTATATACATGTTAAACTGTATTAAATCTTTTAAAAGTGATATTTTATTTTATAGGAAAAGGTAATAACATAATAAAGACAGAAAGAATAATATTTTTTATATCTTTTAATTGAATTAATATTTTACTAATATATTAAAATTAAATATTAAAATAAAAATCTTAAAGTATATTATTCTGAATATATATATATATATATATATATATATATATATTTAATTTTAAAAGATTATAAATAATTTAGATATTATATAAAAAGGTAAAGTTCACAAATGGTCTCCGACTATAGGGTATTGTTTTATTAAGTCTCTTGACTATTAGAAAGTTATAAAATAATCATCCGACTACAAAATATTGCTTTATTAAGTCCCTCAACTATTAAAAGTTAAAAAATAGATTCATTATGTTTCAAAGTCGTCCTTTTCTGTTAAAAAATTGGCGATTGTCTAAATTGGGTGTTAGCATGATGATTGAGATATGATAGTTGTTTGAGATTTCAATATTAGATTTTATCATGTCATAGTCAGTAGGTTAACGTTCAACTCAGAATATCGCCATTTTTTTAACAAAAAATGACTAGTTTGAAACGTAATGAATAGTTGTATGACCATTTTATAACTTGTATTAGTTAAAGGACTCAACAAATAACACTCTATAATCGGAGGATTATTTTGTAACTTTTAATAAGTCTAAAGACTTAATAAAATAGTACCCTATAGTCGAGAGTCTATTTGTGTACTTTAGCCCATTAAAACTAACATTAAAACAGAGCACAAATAGTTGAAGAAACGCGGTCTCATAACTTGATCGAAATAGATAACAATTATGAATTGCAACAAGCAAAGATGGGCTTCCTAAGTTTGTAATCTGGACTCTGAAACTATTGGATCATATTCCACTCCAATCAATCAATAATCAGTTAATTTAATAGATTGAAATATTAAAAGATTAAATAAAATCTTAATATTTTGGATAAAAAAAATATTAGATTAAAATATAATTATTTATCGATAATTAAATTAAAAAAATAAATATTTTGGCAAAAGAACCTGTCATTATCAGCCTATTTAAAGTACACAATTTGTGAAAACGGGAAAAGCAAGCAATAATAAAATGAAGTCGTCATTTTCCGCCGCGTACCTCTTCGCCACCTTCCCATTTTCAACTTCCGATTGCCTACCTGAACCGCCACTTTCCTTCTATAACTATCTCGATGTGTAACATTAGCAAAAGAAATGAAATCGATACATTTATTATTTTAATTCAATAAACATGAAAAAAAATCTTAATTGATGGTTGTGGACCACCTAAATAAATTCAAACTTTCAAAATCAATTGCTTTTTTATTACTGAAAACTAAGCTTCCACCTTCCTTTGTGTCATTCAAACCACAAAAACAAATCATTTATATATTCTAGACCTTCACTAATTACTACCCCAATACGAACGAGAAATATAATTAAACAAATGACATTCATTTTCATTGCAACTCATCAAGAATCAATTATAGAAGAATGATAAATTCGATGTAATAATTGCAATCAACCAAGATCACTGAATAAGAGTAAATTATTGTTCATCAATATGAATCATAGTTTAAATTTTATATTATTCATCTACTGTTTCATAATTGTAATTATAAAAAATGAAGCTTGATGAAGTAATGCGGTACGAAGGAGTAATGTTACTCATATGCAGATCAAATTGGATAGCGGTTTGCATTGAAAATGTTCACGTGCGATATTCTTAATATACGGTTAAAAAAAGACGTTACCGGTTTTGTTATTATTTAAATAAAAAAACTGGCAAAAGATGACCGGAAATATTATTAGACGCTATTGATTTTGTTATTATTTGGTGTTTTATTGAATTTGGTAAAACGCTATCGATTTTGTTATTTTTTCTATCGATTTTATTATTGTTGGACACTTTTACCGAAAATACTTTAGGTTACTGATTTTAACATTTAAATAATAAGAAAACCAATAACACTTTATTTTAATCTTATATTAAGGCGTGCAGGTAGAACTTCCTGTTTTGCATTGAACAATCAATTAAAGATCTTGGAGTCTGAACTCTGGAACTATCGGCCCATCTTACTATTTTCATGAAAGAACGGGTCATTATCAACCTATTAAGTAAGAGTATCTGATTAATTAATGACGAAAGAAAAGCAAGCAATTGTCATTTTCGGGTGTTCCACCGCGTTCAAAGCTTACCTGCTCACCCCCTTCGCAGTTTGCCTGGTTGAAACCGCCCTTTACACCTATATCATGGCTATTTCCTTCCTACAGCTTTCTCTTCAAAGTAGTCCCCAATTTCCCTAACTCTCGGTTCCCACATAGTTATTGGTTTTCTGTTTCCTTTGAGTCATCATCGAACTCCGTCCATTCATCTTGTTTATAAGAACGGCTGATTTGTGTTGTACGCCAAGAAAAGGAATGTGGACCACCTTATTCAAATCACCACCATCTCCCACCAGGATGAATCCACCTTCTTCACTTCACCTTGCTTTTTCAGAGTCATCAATGGAAGAAAATATTGAATCTGCCGAATTTATCATCACTAAATGGGATTCCTTGTCCGATAACGAAGACTCCTTCTGTAACACGGCTTCTCCTTTCACCGATGACAACAAGGAAGAAGCGAAACAGTATTTGTCTTCCATTAGGGGTCTGCAAAAAGCTATGCACTACTTGGTTTCACATCAAGCAAGTTCCGAGAAGCTTGACCGAGCTCACACACTGATGCAAACCTCCATGAAACGGCTCGAGAATGAGTTTTACCGGATTTTGAAGTCTAATCGGTTTTATCTTGATCCGGAATCCTGTTCTACTCTCTTGTCCTCTATACGATTGGCTCCCAGGTCAAGCTTTTCAGACTTGGAAAAATACGAGTCTGAGAACGAGATTGAGTCACTCCCAGAAGCCCAGCGAGTGTCGTTGGCTGCAATAGAGGATTTAAGAGCCATTGCGGAGGTCATGATAAAATCAGGGTACGCCAAGGAATGTATCAAAGTATATAAAATTATCCGGAAATCGTTCGTCGATGAAGCACTTAACAGTCTCGGAGTTGACAGGACTTTGAACTTACAGAAGATTCGGAAGATGGATTGGGAAGTTTTGGAGATTAAAATCAAGAATTGGACGTACGCTATTAAAACGGCCGCTAAAACGCTGTTTTCCGGGGAGAGAATTCTCAGCGATAAAGTATTCTCTATTGCGCCTGCTATGGGGGACTCTTGCTTGACGGAAATCTCGAAAGAAGGAGCTTTTGCTCTGTTTGAGTTCCCAGAGAATGTGGCCAAGTGCAAGAAAACTCCCGAGAAAATGTTCTGTTTCTTGGATTTATATGAAGCGGTTTCCAATCATTGGCCCGAGATTGAATCAATGTTCAGCTCTGAATCAGCTTCAACCGTCCGATCAACCGCTAGTAACTCCTTAATCAAGATTGGTGACGCCGTTCGAACCATGTTAACGAGCTTCGAAAAGGCAATTCAAAAGGATACGTCCAAATCAACGGTTCCCGGAGGGGGGATCCACCCTCTCACACGTTACGTAATGAATTACCTCTCTTTGCTTACCGATTACAGCGAGATTCTCCCCGTCATCGTCGCAGATTGGCCGTTAACGATCCCGTCACCCTTACCGCAGCCCTTCTTTGGCAACCCCGACAGCGAGGAGAGCATTTCATCGCCGGTTTCAGTCCGGCTAGCTTGGCTTATCCTCCTCTTGCTCTGTAAACTCGACGGGAAAGCTACGATGTACAAGGACGTGGCGCTATCTTATTTGTTCTTGGCAAACAATCTCCAGTACGTTGTCGGAAAAGTCCGTCAATCGAATCTGAATATTCTCCTCGGTGACGAGTGGGTGGCGAAGCAGGAACAGAAAGTTAGACAATACGCTTCGAATTACGTGAGAATGGGATGGAGCAAAGTGTTTGCGTCACTTCCCGAAAATCCAACGGCTGAGATCCCAATCGATCAAGTGAAAGATCATTTCAGAAAATTTAATTCGGCTTTTGAAGAGGCCTATACGAAACAGACTTCTTGGGTCGTACCCGACCCAGGACTCCGAGACGATATAAAAATCTCGTTGGCGAGGCGGATAGTACCGATCTACAAGGAGTTTTACGAGAAGTACGGAGGAAAGCACCTGAGGAAAGAAATGTGGGCTGACTCACTTGTCAGATACACCCATGATGATTTGGGAAATTACTGGTCGCATTTGCTCAATGGGAGCGCAAGTTCGGGGAATGTTATGTCAAGTTCAAGCCACGGTGGGCGGAGTCGTTGAACCGATCCTATTTTAGCGGAGAAAGATTCACCGGCGACTTTGGTCTATACAGGCTCCTGTACAAAGAGGTTTTTGTAAGAAACTGATTGACACGTGTATAAAGAAAATCTTAATTTAATTCACCAATCTTTTATTTTATTTTTATATGTTTGACATCTTCTCTTGTGACTTACTTACCAACAAATTCGATTTTAAATGTCGAATTATATTTTGTTGTCTCGTTATTACCCTACTTAAATTTAGATTTTATATTTTCATTTCTATTATATCCTTAGCAATAATGTTATCACGAATTTCAAAGAACTGGCAGCTGAGTTTCATTCATGTACCCCGAGAAAGGAATCGAGTAGTGGATTGTATAGCACGGCTGGCTTGGTCAAGCGTTTCTGCATTCAACAGTTACCAGAATCCATCAGAGGTTGTTGCAGAGTTGGTTCGAGAGTAAGCGAGGACCGCACACTGCTGAAGTGTAGACGATAGGAGTTAGTTTTTCCTTTTCCTCGGAAAAAAAAAACATAATATCATAAATATTAATTAGGAATAGTCATAAATCGTGTTTAAGTTTATATTCATCCAAATTCAAAATAAAAATAGAAAAATTTCGCTTGCATTTGATTCATTTCATATTTAGGAATGGATATTTATTTATTTATTTTATTTTTTGGTAAACAATGGGAAAAGCTAGCATGGGAGGCTATTAAGCTTGGTCAGCAATGCCTTCCATTTGCAGAAACGTTCCAACGAAACTGGAGGCTCTGTGAACCAACAGCATTCCAAATTCTGATGCAAAGCCATTTTAGCCATTTTGTTTGCGAGCATATTACTTTCACGATTTACGTGTTGAATTTCTACTCTCCAATTCCTTTGGAGATAGCCTGCAATATGAGCTACGATCAAGAGCTGATGATGATCTTCTTTGTACTGATTCACTGGCCGAACAACATCCAAATTATCACATTCAACGATCACCTGAGGCACACCAATCTCCCAAACACAACTCAGACCAACCAGTATGTCCCACAACTTCGCTTCTACTATTGAACAGATTCCAATAAATTTAGAAAAACCATGAATCCAATTCCCATTGGAGTTCGTTACAACGCCCCACAAGAAGCTAATCCGGTTTCCTTGTTTCTAGTCCCGTCCGAATTCATCTTACACCAGTCCCTCGGGGGAGGACTCCACCCGCCTGTTTTCGGTAATGAGAGAGAGACCTCTGAAACATCTCTTCTCAATTTTCGCTCTAATGGCATTGCAAGTGATCTCTTTCAAGTTCCTACACCGAACAATCAAGGATCTATTGTCAAAAATAGGAGCATAAAAAACAACAGAATTCCTATTGAGCCATAAATTCCATACTATTGCACCGAAAAAAATATTCCAGTCTTAAGTTTCTGTCGATCCATGTCCTTGAAATCCCGAAAACCATCTCTTTTAACCAAGTTGCGCCGGACTGCTATTGCCGCTAGATATCGCCTTAAAATGTGATCAGTATCCTCAGTCGGATAGAGAGGCAATTGGGACAGCTACGATTCAATGTAAAATTTGACTTAATTCTAGATTAAAATTCGCAGATTTTATCTAAATATATATAAAATGTTATTCTTAATAAATAAAATAAAAAGTTAAATAAAAATAAAAATATAAAAATTATTATTATTACCTTTAAATATATGAATGATAATTATGATATTATCTCAAATTAGATTAAATCAAAATTTTCACCTTAAATTTAAATTTGATCGTTCTTATTTTAGAGAAATTATTAAATGAACTCGGCTCACTACGTCATCCGTGATCTAAACCAATAAAGCTCATCCACCTCAAGGTAACTTCCAAATAACTATTTACTTTCTTTTTACATGTAGGAAAGATGTGAACATTCACCTAAAAAAAATGAGGTGAATGTAGGGATGGGCATGTGACCCGAACCCGATGGGTTCTGACCCGATTGGGTTGGGTTTTTAAAAATAATTCGGGTTCGGGTTGGGTCTTGTCGGGTTTTTTTAAATGTGATGTTCGGGTCAGGTTTGGGTTTAGGGTGAAAAACACCCGACCCGACCCGAAAAAATAATAATTTTACCTTATATTTAGGAATAATTACAATAATATCCCTCTATATATTATTTTTTTTTCAAATTAAGTCACTGTTTTTATTGAATAGTTTTTTTTTTATTTCGGGTCGGGTCGAGTTTTTAAGTTATATATCGGGTCGGGTGAAATCTTGTTTCGGTCGGGTCAGGTCGGATCTCAGGTGGGCCAAAAACCCGACCCATGCCCATCCCTATGTGAATGGACCTTATTGGTTTGAACCACGAGTGACGTCGTGAGCCGAATCCATATAATATTTTTTTCCTTTTTGTGCCCTTCAAAAAATCTAACTCAATCTGATTTAAATACACATTTTTACAATAAAAAATAACTCAATTTAATAAATTGAATCAAACTTATCAAATTCAGATAAAATACCATTCCTAATATTGATGTGTGTATATGAATTTCAAAACTTTTATTATTGATATTTGGTTAAAACGAGTTACATGTTTGTTTGTTGATAAGCCTTGGGGCCTTTGGGAATGGGTTAGTGTTGGGGCTTGGGAAATGGGTTAGTCGAAACATAAACTCGTTTATTATTATATTTGCAACAATTATTTTAATTAAAAATTTTCATTAAAAATTATTTAATTTTTAAAAAAATAAAATTCAATATTATTAATAGTATAAAAAATTATTATACTACACTGATTTTATTGACCCAAATTTCATACACGCAAATCTAACATATCAACTTAAGTTTTATAAATGTAATCGTATATAATAATTTATAAAAAATCTAATAATTCTTATTCAAATATAAAATATCATTTATTTACATTACTAGTAAATATAATTAACTTATTAAAAAAAGTATGCCTCATAATTTTTTAATTAAATTAAAATGATTATAAAATAATGTTTATTTTAAATACTCTTATTAAAATTGATGCAAACCAAACTGTTACATAAAACGTGTTTGAGTGATTCATGACATCCTTCGGTCAATGACAGACGTCACAACATCGACCGATCAAATAATATTCTTTAGTTTAATTGGTCGCTTTTAATAGCTTGAAACTCTTAGCAAAGGCATTGCGTAGCTAATTCAACCACAACTCCAAGGCTAGCTTAGGTAGGAGTACGGGTGTTGAAATTCGGATATCGCATCTTATTCAATTCGATTCAAAATTTGAATATCCAAAAATATTGAATATTTAAAATAGTAATATCTATCTGATCTTAAAAAATCGGATATTTAATATTTTGGATATCCGAATTTTCATATAGGATATCAGAATATTTAAATCTGAATTTAAAATTTAATTTTATAAAGAAATAATTTCAAATTTTAAATTTTATGATTTAATGAAACTTATTCGACACTTCTAGTATATTTTTTATATATATTTAATCACTCGCCCACAATAAATAATTAAATATTTTGATTTTTATTGGGTTAGAGTTTTACTTATTTATTAGACTAAATAGTATCTAAATCTAAAAACTAAATATATTTTAGGATTTTCGGATAATTCGAAATTGAAATTTATCCAATCTGAATCTAATTTAATTTTTCAAAAAAAAATGGATATCTGATCTAAATTATCCAAAAATAAAAATATATCATGTATCTGAATTTTCAGATTGTGTCAACTGATTAACAAACCGGATCAATCGGATCAAATCTTTTTATACACCACTAGGTAGTAGGAGAAAGGTCCAACCAAAGCTCATGGACATGGGTCACTTATCCAAGTCTCGGAGTTAACCCATTTGATTGAAAGCCTGTTTTCCATTTGCTAGACACACCACCAAATGGGCCATAAACACCGCACTTCAAAAAGATGTTTTTTTTCCAGAGAAAATTTGGAAGATTTGCTTAACGTTTGATCTCACCTAAATTTATCCTAGAGGCCCATTGTTTGTAATGTTAAAATATTAACTTTTTTAAATATATTCTAAAATTAAAAGGAGATGAAAAATAAATTTTAAAAGATTGATGGAGAAACATAATAAAAGTTGCAAGCCAATATTGACGTGGAAAAATTAGGAAAGGAAAATATACGTGAAGCATTCAATGCATGGGCTGTTAGAATCACGGACACTTGTCCATGAGGGCGTGGTAGTAGTTGTAAAAATGCAACCATCACAACCCAAAAGAGATACCGAGTCTATATGTGTATTCATTTTATAAGCTTTTTGCTGTGTCACACGATATTTCAATGCCTGGATGTAAAGATATATTTCACCACTCGGCAGATCGATGGAAGGTTTCCAAACAACCAATAGCGAATCTAAAAATTAAAAAATGAGATCTAAATTTTTAATATTCTAAAATTTTGGGTATACAAGACTCCTTATTTTTTTCCTTTCCCTTATCAAATTAAATTAAATTTAATAATTTTCTCAGAATAATAGGTATGCAATTGCTCCTTTTGGGAGCTGCATACATCTACCGCTGCAAGCAACTGTGGCAAATTCCAATATATGGCTGTAAATGATTTGGGTAATATAGTGACACGAAAATATTTTAGGTTGAAAGATATAAATTTTTAAAAAAAATATATTTTAAATTTATTTAAAATTAAATTAAATTATTAATAAAAATATAAAAGAAATAAATAAATTATAAGATGATTTAAATTTAGAAAAATATATGATTAGTTGATTACTCCAAACAGCCCCAATGCACGAAACCTCCAAACTAAGCAATAGCAGTCCAGGGTTCCACCACATATAAATACTAGTAATTGAAGGGACGGTATGAATAATTGAGTCATTCATGGGCCTTGTTGGGTCCCATGGATGAGTTTAATGATCAAGCACTACTTGCTGCCTTCCTCTTAATCACCCAACTATATTTGTTGGCTCTGAGGCTTTGACCTACATAATTCTACTGGGGCGGCTTCTTTTATTATTTAACCATATGTATCCCTACTAATATTATGTATGTCAAACGCAATAATCTCTTTCTCTATCTTTTTAATTAAATTAATGTAATTATAAAATAATATCTGTTATAAATATTTTTAACTATTTAATAATGAACTTTCAATCACCTTATTGCATTCGCTTGTAGTTCAAACACTTGTAGGAATAATAACGATTTCTTTAACCACTGAAGTAAGTTGGTTAGTGTATCTTTCTCTTTTTTAAATTAAATATTTTTAAATTTAAATTTAATCACTATAAATCATATGAAATATGAAATCAATATAACATAAGCATACAAAGCACGGATATTCGGGATATACATAAAATTAATTATTAAAGCATTATATACGTTTTTTAAAATATAAAAAGTTAACATTAACTAAACACTACTAAGTTGTATATATACATAAAAAATTCAAAATAAATAACCATGCAAAAATATATAGAAAATATAAGATAATTGATAAATAATACAAATATAACAAAAACATGTAAATTACTTTATGAAACAAAACATTATATATTCTAAAAAGAGATGATACGACATGAATAGACATAAAAATATACATATTTAAATATGTCAAAATGTACCCGGAATGAACTATTTACATGAAAGATTTGATATAAATTTTAATAGTTCAAATACAGGAAAGATATATTAAATTTTATGATATAAATTTAGGATAGAGTCTTTAGGGGATAAATTGTTTTAAGATTTAAGAAGTAATTAAATAAATGAATAGAGATGGAAATTTTAATTTTATTAATATTCAATTCTGTAGGACCTAAAATGTTGAGCTCGTTGATTGTGTCACGCGCTCAGAACCTTCAAATTCGGTGAGCTCTCCAGTCTCCTTAAACATGGCTATCCCTTTCTGTACTAGGCTAATACTCGCCTTGGTAGAAATAAACCTTATCGCATCAAATCTTGCATGTTCATTATCCTTGGCTTGGTCCTTCTCCTGGACTGCTTGGTTCGATTTAGACACTCCGCACCTTGTGAGGGTCCTTGCACCGGTAGCACTTTAATTGCTTCCTCTTTATCCTCAGCTTGACGGCTTCACTTACTATCTCACCGGTTTTCCCCTTGTGCTTGACTGCTTGACAGCCTTTCGACTTTATTATAAAGATTGATACGAAACCACGCAAATATATAGTTGGTAGGTGTAGATTGTCGAGTGATTGCAATTGGTCTTTAATCCTTTTCACACGTCGCCGGAGCGTTTTTCTCCTTTATAAGGGCCTTGAATCACTTTGATCTGTCATATCCCACATCGATCTAACTAAGTATAGCCTTCTTTTTCTTTGCCTTTATTTATTAGTTTTCTGTCATGGAGTTATTCTTTTTGCTGTTGAGCATTCCAATTTTGTACCTTTTCTTCATATTGTGTAAGTGGGTCAATGATTCGAGAGACCAACAATGTTACATTTTGGACTACAAATGTTACAAGCCGAGTGATGAAAGGATGGTCGGGACTGAATTCTGTGGGGAGGTTATAAAACGGAACAAGAACCTCGGACTCAACGAGTACAAGTTCTTGTTGAAAGCCATTGTGAGCTCCGGCATCGGAGAACAAACATATGCCCCTAGAATCATGTTTTCCGGCAGAGAAGAGTGTCCGAAATTGGAAGATGGAATCTTGGAAATGGAAGAGTTTTTCTGCGACAGCATCGGGAAGTTGTTATCAAGGGCTGGCATTTCTCCTCAGGAAATCGATCTCTTGGTCGTCAATATCTCCATGTTTGCCGCAGTTCCTTCTCTGTCTTCTCGAATCATAAATCACTACAAAATGCGATCAGACATCAAGTCTTTTAACTTAACTGCGATGGGGTGTAGTGCAAGTGTGATTTCCCTCGATATTATTCGTAATGTCTTCAAATCTTACAAGAACAAGTTCGCTTTGCTTGTAACATCGGAGTCGTTGAGTCCGAACTGGTACGCCGGCAACAACAGATCGATGATTCTCGCGAATTGTTTGTTCCGTTCGGGTGGCTGTGCTATACTTTTGACGAACAACAAGGCCTTAAAACATAAAGCAATGTTCAAACTGAAATGCTTGGTGAGAACACATCATGGAGCCATAGACGAGTCATATGATTGCTGTGTCCAAAAAGAAGACGATGAAGGACGGACGGGATTTCACCTTAGCAAAACCCTTCCAAAGGCCGCAACTCGTTCTTTAGTGGACAATTTAAGGACCATCACCCCAAAGATCCTGCCCACCCGTGAACTGCTTCGGTTCATGGTGGTTTCACTCGTTAAAAAATGGAACATCCGCCATGGTTCCACCCTTAAAGCGGGGGTGAACTTCAAGAGCGGAGTGGACCATTTCTGTATCCACACGGGAGGGAAAGCAGTGATCGATGGGATAGCAGCAAGCCTTGATTTGACTGATTATGATTTGGAGCCGGCTAGGATGACGCTGCATCGATATGGGAACACTTCAGCAAGTAGTCTCTGGTATGTTTTAGCATATATGGAAGCCAAGAAGAGGTTGAAGAAAGGGGACAGGGTTTTCATGATAAGCTTTGGTGCTGGGTTTAAATGCAACAGTTGTTTGTGGGAGGTTACGAGGGATTTAGGCGATGGGAATGTGTGGAAAGATGAAATCGACAGATACCCACCGAAGACATTGGTTAATCCTTACATGGAAAAGTATGGGTGGATTCAAGATGAAGACCCTAGCACCTTCAAAATCCCAGAGGATTAACAGTTTTAGAAAGGTAACCTCCAAAAATAAAACATTTTATAAATTTCACAATTGGATTTCTTTGTATACAGTAAATCCCCGGTTGGATTCATATACAATGATGAGAGTTTGTCGTTTTTATTATTATAATCTTGAAGTTAGTTTCTCATTCCTTAATTTATAGTTATACAAATCCGCATTTATTGTTGGTCCCTGAATTATTATTTATCTCATCTCAATACAATTATAGTTGATGTATGCTGCGTTTGCTTGACTTTGTGTTCTGGATTATTATGAGCTTTTTCCTTAATTAATAAATTGAGTTTCTGAGGGAGAAAACCAAAAACAAAAAACAAAACAAAAGGAAAGATAGAACCAGAAAAAAAAATCACATGACGTTATTACTTGATTTCATGAATTACTCAATGAAAGCAAATTACAAAATCTAATCATTTGATTTAATTAATGGAGAGGTTACAAAGTTTATCCACTTCCTTCGTTTTTAATATTTTAGTGGTTTGAGATGAATATTTTTTTAATAATATGGGACAAGTATAAAGAGTATATATTCAAATATAACTCTAATCATTTGACATTGAATGTTCATACCCCTGATATTTTTTGTGCTCGAACCCAATATTCAAGGAATAACAATAATTTCTTTACCACCAAGGTCACCTGGTACGTGTCGAATATAAAACTTAAAACTTCAATAATAGGTATTAAATAAATTAAATTGTAAAAATAAGTAAAAATAAATAAATTTATCTTTTTTCAGACCTCATTTCTGTTGCTAGCTTTTAATGTCACCTTTATAGCTTTGGTTCCTAAGATGTTTAATGTGTCAAGCCTTAAAGATTTTCTTTACCTGTTCATCAACCATTTAGCTTTATCTACTCGAATACGAGTGAGAGTGTACGTTTTGCCTTTCTTACCAAATGTTAGAAAACTGAACTGGATTTTGTACTAGACCGACCTCTGGTTCCCCAGTCGAATTGTTTGAACCCGGAACTTTCACCAATGTGATGTCTACTTTTGTTTCATTGATCATGATAACGTGATGTTAACTTTACTTTTTCCTGCTAAAGAAGAAAGAACACGACAAATCAAGATTGGAGCTTGGAAATTGGTACTAAGTTGGAGGTTTAGGCATTAAAGAATGATTGTCATTGTGTGAAGTGCCAACCAATTTTGTTCTCCGAACTTCAAGATATGAAAACAAAGGCATTTCCTTCAAATGTTAAAAGGATTATGTTTTATTTGTTTCAGCTATCATGTATTTGCTCAAGTATGATTAAGATTAGATGTACTTTCACCAATGTGATGTCTATTGTTATTTCATTCATCATGATAACATCTGGCATTAAGATTAGAATTAGTATTTGTAAAAAAATAATCAGATTCTTATTTTTTTTTTTTAAAGGTACAGGGAGCCTTAAAGCTTAAGCGAAGTTTGGGGCTTTAGTATGAATCTAATTAAAAATAGGGGGGGAACATGTTTTTAAGTAGTTATCAACATATTATGTAATCTAACTAAGAAAATGCAAACTCAAATGTCCTTGTTTTTATTCTTCTTACAAATATTTTGCAACAAGATAAACTCCTTTAAAGGGGAAAAACAATGTAACGCACAACTTAAGCTGTTTAAGATTATGGTGATCTAATAATTAATAGAATCGTTAAGAATCCTCTTCTTCATTATTATTTTGTTGATTGTTTTGATCAACGGGCTCTTGCTGGTCTTGGACTTGGACGTTGATCATGAAGTCATGAACCATGTTTTGGGCCATATTATTATTATTAGCTGCCATCTGCATTTGCGCTGGTCGAGGATTGCCGTAAGGCTTGTTGCCACCTCCTGCTTGCACTGCTGGAAAATAAACAGGGTGACGAAGTTTCTTAAACAAAGCTAAGCCCAGCCCCGTCCCTCAGCATGGGCAAAAGGGCACTCGTCCGAGACTCAACTTGCTCAGCACTAAAATTATAAATTTATATATAATTAAAAATGATAAATTATTTATTCAATTACTTATTTATTATTTTATTTCTGTTTTAACCATTCAATTATAATTATTTCTTCAAAATTATATTTAACTTTACATTTTATTTCTTTTTTGTTATTCATCATTAAAACATTATATGCGATGGTATAGTGATATTTTTAAATTATTTCCACTTAATTATTCTTTAATTTATTTTTTGTAATACTTTTTATTAGGGCCTGGCTAAGCCTAAAGTCATATGTCAAAGCCAGCTCCTTCTGGTTCAAGGAATCCCACTTGCATGCGTAAATGGTTGAATATTAGAAAGATCCAAGTAAGTTCAGTCGAAGTTTGCTTATTATTATACTAACCTGCATTACCGGCTGCAATGGCTTCCGATTTTCTCTTATGAAGAAGCAACGCACAAACCCCGGCAATAACCCAGAAAAGTACAAAAACTGGAATTGAGGTGCCAAGGATTACTGGTAGCTTGCTCTTTTTCTTGCCACTGCTCGAGGAGCCACCATAATCAGATGTATCTACACCACTCGCTGTTTTACACGATTTGCCAGAGGTGCATAAATCCGGATTGTCTGTAACACTGCTATTCAAACAATGAAAGAATTTGATAAAAAATGCAGTCTCTGGTATGACAATATTATAAAGAAATTTCGTTTACTTACACTAATTTTAACTTTTTGTTTTTCGATATCGTGGATGGAATTGGTCCACTGAAACCATTACTAGACAAGTTCCTGAACAAGGAAGAACATTTTCAGTTAAGCATCAAGAAAAATAGAAAAGGGCAAATCTGACAAAAAAAATCGTCAAGAAAACTCACAATTCTTAAGGTGCCTAGGAATTCTGGGATAGACCCGATTAGGCTGTTATTGTGCAAATCTCTACAATCAAAACAATATTAAATAATCTGAGATTAAAGAGATTTGATTATCTAATAACTAAACTTGAAGGTATGTGTGTGTGTGTGTGTGTGTATACAACTTACATGATCTCGAGGCTTGTCATGGAGCTAAAATCAGGAAGAAGACCAGATAAACCAAAGCTACCAAGATGCCTGAAAAATAACTAAACAAACCAAATGATAACTGATCATCAAACCTTTCAAGGAAAACCTAGAGAACTATTTTGAGCTTGAAGATTAATGAACTTACAATGCTGTTACTCGGGGTGTGGAACCAGAGGTGCAATTGATCCAATACCATGAATAGGGTGCAGGAAGACAAGGGTCACCACCCCAGTCTCCCAGTACATCAAATTCCCTTTGCAGTGCCACCAATCCGTCCACTACAATATATAGTACAAAAGAGTGAACAAAAGTTTAAAAATTTAACGTATGGATATAAGAAATATCAAGTAAATTTAATTATGCCTTGGATACCAACCATCATCACTGTTGGTTCCATCGGTTAGCTCATCGCTGACAGTAAAAACTTCCAGTGCATTGATAAGGGGAGGCAGTGTTGAATCAGATGTGGTTGCCAAAGTGAAGTTAGTTCTGGAAGAGGCAGTCTCGTTTGACAGGACCATCTCTCCTGCTTTTGCATAAACTGGGATGAAGGGTTTTGAGCTAGACTTTCCATCTATTCGGAGCTCGAACGATCTTATCTCGGTCGAATCGAGTACCGCAACTTCCGAAAAGTACATGTTAATGTAAATGGGAACTTCAGTCGTGGGAAGGTTAGTCGCTAATTGTATGGATGTGGAAGTGCTGTTAGAGGCAAATGCATTTTGAAACACGGCACTAGGAGGGCTATCGTCTAAACCAACTTCAGTGAATAATTCATCACTTGTAAGCACCGTGAACCAACAGCGTTGACGGCCGGAACCCATATTCTGTCGTAAAGATCGTCGGTAGACCTACAAGTACAAGAACAAGATGCAGCATGAGATCTATAAATACAGGGTTAAAAACAACAACATTAATTACATAAGTGAACGGCAAACAAAACACACCTAATGATTGCTTTGGTACCATAAGCAACCCTCCTCCTTAACATCAAAGCACGATACAGATCTAAATCCGAATACATTTTGGAGTCCAAGTCCCGAACTTCGATGGCCGATATAAAGGGAGACATGTTAGGAGCAGTCTGAGCTACGCATACACTAATGTTATCCGTCTTTGTGACATAAATAACCTCGTAGAAAACAAGTTGGTCACTTAAAGTCTCCACCGTAGCCCAGCGGTTCCCATCAAAATGTAGATCGAAACTTGGAGGTGATGATTTCCCATCATAGTTTCCATAAAAGAAATAAGCTCGGACAAGAACTTTAGATCCCTTGGCGGAATCGATATTGTAGCAGCTTTTCTTCCGGTCAGTGAACACCCTAAGAGTGGCCATCGGTTCATATATAGGTTTGCTGGATCGCAGCTGTACGGACTCACCATGTTGAATGTAGTTGTCGTCTCCAACCCACCCGAGGGAGTAGTCATCAGTGCTGAAAAGTTCAGATGATCCACAATCGATGCTCACGGCAATTCACACCCACACATATATAAAAACATTAATTCTAAACATCAAAGAAAAGAACCATGCAACAACCACATGATTATATGTATAGTTTATTATAATTCCTCAAAATGATCAGCTGACCATCAGCATCAAGTGTGGAAAATGTAGAAGCCGCAATGATGAGAAATAAGAGATAGGTAACCGTGGTGAGTGGTGAGCTATGAGTTGAGACTTGGAGATGCAGCGTGAAGGGATTATTGGTCTTCATTAAATAGAATAGTGAACTGTTTAGTATTGGTTGACTACGACCGCGTCATGAGGTTCCAACCAATAATAAAATAAAGGGAACAACAATGTCGTCAGAATATACTTCTAAACATAGTACTAATCAACTGCTTGTGCCAGCGCTTGAAGTGTCTTCCACATGCGCATTATCACCAACTGGTTCAGTCCCATGCGCAATATCATGCGCTGATTCGGCGGCCCCATGTGCATTATCACCATGTGCATTATCAATATGCGCATCACCTCTTATAGTGGTTGGAGCAGCATCATTAATGTTCCACTGTCTCACATCTGCGACAACTGGAATATCACGTAAACGAGCATTTCTCAGCATGAAATTCAAGGTAAATTTTATTATCCCTAGCAAGCTTAGAGACCGAAAGCAAATTCTTAGTTATGTGAGGCACATGCAACAATTCAGTCAAGATTAGAGTTCTTGGAGAAGCAGAAGAAACAACCGCAGTACTAACATTATGAATATCAACAGAAACTCCATTGCTAACAGTAAGTTTACCTGGACCTCTAAACTCAGCAGGGTTCGAGACATTCGCAGCATCTGGTGTGATATGATGCGTAGCTCCAGAATCCACCACCTAATGATCACTGGATCTGGAGACCGTATTAGCTTGCAAATTACTTGCTATATGGGAATGACCTTTACAGCATTCACATCCCAAGTTTGAGGTTTCAGTAGCAGAGTAGTGTGCATTGACAGACTGTCCTTTATGAGCTTGAGACTCAGATGTAACACACATAAACTCTTCATCATAACGATGCCAGCATCGATCAACCAAGTGACCGAGTTTGCCACATAGCTGGCATTGAATCTTGGTTCGCCCTCGACCTCAGCCGTCTGTCCTGTTTGTAAACGATGAGCGTGAAGATTTGGAGTCATGCCGTCCATTAGCAGAGGAATCATGACCTTCTACTCTCTCAGCAACATTGGCTGCCATAGGAGCATAATCAAACTGCTCATCGAACCCAGCCAACTGTGCTTCAGCATCTAGAAGAACGATGTAAAGGTTGTCCAAGGACAGTGTTTCCTTCATCGTAGTGATAACTGCCATAAACGGTTGATACTCCCTGGGCAATCCTTTCAAGATGCTGGCAACATGTCCAACATGTGAAACTGCACTACCACACGAGGCAAGTGCGTCACATACCTCTTTTACACGAGTGAGATATACTCGCATGTTGTCATTGCCCTTCCTAAGCGACTGCAACTTGCAGTGCAAACTCATAGCAGCTGTCGTGGATCTACTCGCAAAAAGTTGTTGCATAACACTCCATACTGCAGCTGCAGATTCGGCATCAACAAAATGAGGAAGAAGATGAGGGATAATGGTTGACAGGAGCCACGAAGCAAGCGCACTGTCCTGCGCAACAAAATCCTCAAATGCATCATTGACACGAATCACACCGGTATTATCAAGAATCGTCTCCGATGGTGATTGTAGAGTTCCGATCAACAGGCGCTCAAGACGGTGACTCCTTACCGTGAGCAAAATTTGCTGCTTCCAGAGAAGGTAGTTCATCTCATCAAGAACAACGTTGATTTTCTTGTGAGAGAAGCTCGTACTTATGGACGAATCCATTGAAACACCAAGCAAGAATCGCGCAGCAAAAGATTTTCAAGAAACCCCAATACCAATGGCAAAATATATCATATTAAGAAACTGTATGTGGAAAAGATGTATTGAATTCACATATTTTGCATTTACAATCATACTAGCTTTATAGCCAGAGTCAAACTAACAATCACTTAACCGACTAACAACATTTGGCGCCTGAACTAACTGATTGTCACAAGGCATGCTATAATACATGCATGTACACAGTAAGCTATAGCCTAACAGATATTGATATATTTTATGTTGTTTCAAAATTAATTTGACTTTAAATTTTATCCAAACTCACTTATATTTATAAATAGCTAACTTATACCCATTTTAGACTTATATTAAAAATATTTACACTATGTTAATTTAATATTTAATAAATTATTTTTATTAAAAATTTAAATATACACAACTTAGCATATTAATTGTTGGATGTTTAAAAAATAATATCCTAAACTACTATAAATTTAGTTTCTATAAACATAAATTACATATAGTGCAATGTATTATTGGCTAGGGTTGATTGAGACTTTAAATGCTCGAGGTTAAGTTTAGTTTTTCTTTTCTTTCTAAATTCATATTTTAAAATAATTCCAGAAAAATAATATTTATTTTACCACGACATCATTCAATAAATTGTTCTAAAATTACATGCTTAGACACAAGCATATAATTTTATTATTATTATTTTATTTATAAAATGGTAAAATTCATACAAATTTAAGGATTGGAATGAAGGAAGGAAATCATTGTTTTTGGAGGTGTGAAATAATCAAGCCTTGGAATTAGGGGATTGAGTTTGGAGGATTAAGCATTGACTTTGCATATTGAATCAATTTTGTGGATGCTGGGTTGTAGATGCAGAGAATTAGAAGCGTTGATTCTCTGCATTATTAGTAGACATAACAAACGAACTTGATTCTGCAGGTTGCTTCCTCGGCAACTTGTAGCTTTTGGTCAATGAACTCCAAGGCAATTACAGCATGATCCTTAAGCTACCAACATGCCTGAAAAAAATTCAAGGTTGACTAAAACCTAGTTTTGACCAACACAATAATCCTTTTTTCCATTTATTATTTTTTTTTTCACTTTTCGTTTGGAGCTAGAAATGAAAGATATGGGCTGGAAGTCAGGAGGAAAGCAATTTGTGAGGCTAACCCTACAACACAGGCTAAAGTCCATGAATAGGCGGGGCCCCTAGCAGTAGTTTTGCCTCGGCCTCACCCTGTCTACCCTCAAAGTTTCCAACGAGACAAATCCCCAAACCGAGTCTGGGAAGTTCACAATTTAACGTTGGTTATGAATTGTTTTATGGGAATATTAAAAGACTGGATTTATAAAAATTTTAAGAGGGACAGAAATATATTATCAATAAAAAATATTTTTTATAATATATGAGAATTTAAAATTTTAAGGGATGATTAGAGGCAAGTCACTGAAAATATGCAATATGAATGGTCACACCGATTTAATATCATCTATGGAAAATTGGATTCCATGGTGGCACGAGGGAGGTGGGTTTCGCAGTTATACGGCCCTCCCTCACTGGCAGCTTCCTATGGAGTATTAATGGAGTTGACAGGACAGTGTGTTGGGAAAACATATGCTGCCATTTCAGACATTTAATCTGCAATCTGTTTGCTTGTTTTTGGAAGGCATATAGAGACAAAAGTTTTGAAATCAACGTTAAGGTTGGAAATATTGGTCCATGATTGGTTTTATCGAAGTTTGTTTCTAAAGGTTTTTATCGAGATCCTCATTGTCACTTTGGGGAACTTTGAAAAAAAACTTCACCTATGCCGCTTCTTGTTTACATCGAGTGCTACCTGAGTATTTAATATTTTTAGGCTTAATATAAAAATAAACGTTTAAATTATATTAAAATTTGATTTTTGGTATCTAATTTTTTTTTTAAAAAATAATTGTCTAACGTTTTCTTTGTTACAATTTTCGGTGTATGTAAGGGTGTTTATTTTTCATTTTTAACCGAATTAATCGATCGAACCGAATTAGTTCGGTTAATTCAGTCGGCCACCGAATTAGTTCGATTCGTGAACGGTTAATTTTTTTTCAATATTCAATTAACTGTTAATTTGGTTCGAAATATGTAAATTAACTGAATTAACCAAAATTATTAAACATTAAATATATTACATATATTAAATACATATTTGAAGCTCAAAACCACTAAGAATTAAGACCCCAATTATTTTTTAACCACAATTGACTCATTAAATTATTAATACCTAATTAAATTTTAACCTAAATTAAAAATACTTCTATTATATTAAAAATAATTTAATAAAAAATATTAAAAAAATCAGTTAATTCAGTTAACCGACCGAAATAATCAAACTTTATTTGGTTCGGTTAATATTTTCAAAAAAAAAAGTTCGGTTAATTCAGTTAATGGTAATTCGGTTCGATCGGCCACCGTTTTAATTGGTTGAACACCCCTAGGTGCATGGACCATAACCATCGTTTATTTTTTTTTAAAAATTAAGGTAAATTACAAATTTGATAACTGAACTTTTATGCGATTATTATTTTTCTCACAGTACTTTCAAATTTTCAATTTGCTCACTCAACTTTTAAATTGTTCATGTATTGGTCACTCAACCGTTAAATAACTAATGGTGTTATGACATGGCAATCTCTACAAAAATGATGTCGTTTTATATCCTACAAAAAATAAGAAAAATTACAAATTTGATAA